GGGACCTCTTCATCACTGCTGCCAGCCTCCACAATCTCCGAAGGCAGCACTCCACTCCCTGGTGGTCCTGGCCCCATCCCTGCATCACACGCAGGCCCCTCATCTGAGTCCTCGCTCTCCGAGACCTCAGCCGTCCGCACCTGCTGCCAGCGAACCACAACAAATTCCTTCAACATTGTCCAACTATTTACTAAGTCTGCATTACTATTACTATTAATCTTCCCATCCTTTCTTTCACCCATCCACTCCCACTAATGTGTTCTAGGTACGCCTAACATTTTTGCACATGTAAATTTCTCATTGAGGCTAATAATCACATCCATCTCTCTAGGGTAACTTGATTCATTGCTGTGGTACGCTTAGGCCTTGTTGATTTTAATTTGATTTTTCAAAAGTCATTTCAGGAATGAAGATAAATTCTGAGCACGTGGAATATTCAACCAAGTCACAATCATTTTTTTTCTTTTCGTTTTATCAAGACACAGTTTATACCCAACAGTAACTCATTTGAAAAAATCGACTAATTAAAAATTAGCACATTTCTGGATTCCACCAAAATGATCATCCCAATAACCACACCATAAGAAGAATTGCCCATTTAAAATCCAATAGAATCTACTCCGTCGGGCCAACCATTTTCCTATCACTTTCCACTGAATTATGATTCCCCTCAAAATAGCCAATAGTGTTTCCCCCTCAAAAAAATGGATTATGTGTGCTAGCTGACTAGAGGAAAGCACAAAATGATTCTTAAGGACAATGCTGTGGAGCAGTTTCATCACTTTTTGGAAATGACTATTTTGTGATTGGCCACACATACTCTGGCAACCATTTTGTGGATGAACAAACCCTCTTTATGACAGCAATTCTGTGAGAACAACCATAACTTGAGTTTCAGAATAAATGCATTTGGGTGTCTCCAACACTTAAAAACTGCTGGTACAAAAGGATCTTTATATCTCATGATAAATCTGGCCAGTTGGTTGTAGGGATTAAGGTGCTGGCCTAGAAACCAGGAGATAGTGAGTTCTAGTACCACCTTTGGCATGAGAAGTGATTTTGGGCCAAATACTAGGAAACTGTGAGTTGTAGTCCTGCCTGAGGCATGAAAGCTAGCTGGGTGACTTAAACCAATCGACAGAAGATGGTTTCTAGTGCTGCCTTAGGCATGAAAGGTAGCTGGGTGATAGTAGGCCAATCACTAGGAGACAGTGAGTTCTAGTTCTGCCTTAGGCACGAAAGCTAGTTGGGTGACTTCTGGCCAGTCAGTCACTCTCAGCCCAATCTACCTCACAAGGCTGCTGTTGCGGGGGGAAAAATAGAAGGAGGAAGGAATATTACATATGTTCACCACCTTGAGTTATTATTAAAAATAATAAATGTGGGATATAATACATCAATTAAAAAATTAGGAACCCCCCCCTCTGAGGTTTTTAAGAGAACTGTTCAGATACATCTTTTTAATTTGGTTTTTTTTACGTTACCCTCACTATTTTCCTGTTCCTCCTATTGTCCTTTATTAGTTTATCTCAGCAGGTTTTAGCAAACAAGGTGTTGCAAAAATACAGATTCCGAACATTTATGAAAACTGTTTTGACAGCCCAGTCTGGCCCAGCCCAGGAAAAAAAAAAAGTTAGAGACATTCTGAATTAATCAGATCTGTTTGCTTTGGCTCCAGAGGGAAAGTGTGAAACTCGGCTGAAGTGCCTAAAGATGAAGTAAGAAGGATAGCCAGGAATTCTCTCTGTTCAGAAGACAGATAAAGAACTAACTCCTTCAAGAAACAATGCAAGAATGTCAGCTAAATCAAACAAAAGCCAGGCTTGAATACATAGCACCCCCCTCCATTCCCCAAATCCCATCAGCGGTGGCCAGGCTTATGAATCAACAAAGCTATTTGGGGGGAGGGATAAAAGGAGTCCTGAAGCCCACCCACTCTTTTCAGTCCGCTTTCGATGCAGACTTGGAGGTGCCTGCCAGCCTTGGTGAGAAAGATGTGGGCAAGTTATGGATGAGTGTGTGAGGAAAAAGCAAACAGGTCAAGTTTTGCTGTTATTTAAAATTCACTGGGTTATGCCTCAGGGTTCATTTGAAAGTGAACTGATTGTGGCTGTGTGGGAGTGACATAAGCTGCATGTAACATGTATGTATGTATGTTGTATGTATGTATTTATGTATGTATGTTATGTATGTAACAAAAGGGAACACACATATAACAAGCATTCCCCACCCCATCCAACATTATCTATCTTTCTTAATTGATTTTGGATAACCATTTGTCTGAAGTGGTGTAGGGTTTCCTGCCTAGGCAGGGGGTTGGACTAGAAGACCTCCAAGGTCCCTTCCAACTTTCTATTCTATTCTATTCCATTCCATTCCATTCCATTCCATTCCATTCCATTCCATTCCATTCCATTTTTCTTCTGATGTTTGGGTCTCAGAGCCAACTGCAATCCTTTATTCTGGAGATCCCTAGAGATCACTTTGAGTGCAGGGACCAACATCAAAAAACAAAAGTGTGAAGTTTTCCCCAAATCATTCAAAATCTGATGAATTCACTCAATGTTCCCAAGGCGGTTGTCTCTTTTAAACTAATATAATTAAAAAGGAACATGTAGGCAATCAGCCCGCACACTTTTGGGCAGAAATTTAAAATGGCTTCATTGTGATCAATCAGGCTGTGGTTTTCCCAGCTGCAATGTATGGCTGTGAAAGTTGGACCATAAGGAAGGCTGAGTGCCAAAGAATGGAGGCCTTTGAACTCTGGTGCTGGGGAAGACTCATGAGAGTCCCTTGGACTGCAAGGCGATCCAACTGGTCAGTCCTAGAGGAGATCAACCCTGGCTGCTCTTTAGAAGGCCAGATCCTGAAGAGGAAACTCAAAGACTTTGGCCACCTGATGAGAAGGAAGGACTCACTGGAGAAGAGCCTAATGCTGGAAATGGTTGAGGGCAAAAGAAGAAGGGGATGACAGAGAATGAGGGTGGCTGGATGGAGTCACTGAAGCAGTGAGGTTAAATCAAAGGTCTTCAAACTTGGCAAGTTTAAGACTTGTAGACTTCAGCTCCCAGAATTCCTGAGCTAACATGACTGGAGGAGGAATTCTGGGAGTTGAAGTCCACAAGTCTTAAAACTGTCAAATTTGAAGACCCCTGGTAGAATAGAATAGAATAGAAAAGAAAAGAAAAGAAAAGAAAAGAAAAGAAAAGAAAAGAAAAG